GGGACAAATGCAAGGATTTTCTTATGAAGCTTCCACTCAGAATCAATGAAATGGGCAGTAACTACCATGTAGTTAATTCTTTGGATGGATGTCCAAGAATCTGTAGTGATACTAACCCTATGATTGTTTCCCCTTAAAAATTGCTTCAATTTCAGTCTCTCCTCATCATAGACAACTAGGATGTCCCTACTTATAGTCCACCTGGATGGAACTATAAACCTAGGGCAAGCAATAGCTATGAACCTCCTGAAACCTATTCCCTCCACAAACCTAAAAGGCAATTCATCTATGATTATCATTTCAACCAAGGCCCTCCTTATTGACTCTTGATTAAAAACCCAAGTCCCTATTTCTCCCACAGTAGGCTGACCATCTGTAAGTGATGTAACAGCCTGAAATGTTAACAGGGACTGCCTAGTTTCCTTGGAGTGAGGATTTTTCAAACAGCTAACCATGTGATTTCTTAAGGAAGAAGTCCCATGTTTTTTGTCTCACAGTGGTAAATTTTGGCACAATAAATGCATTTGCCTTTTACAACCACATTATTAGTGTCCTTTATTGCCTCAAAATGATCCCACACTGGTGATCTGGAAGCAACCTGTTTCCTCTTCTTGGCTGGAACAGCAGTAGGAGGTTGCTCATTCTGTTGATTCTCAACAGTTTGGGCTTCCACCCCTGAAGGTCCATCAATTGAGGAGCTGGGAGGTTGACTACCAGGAGTACCAGGCATACTGATATTATCCATCTAAAAATGGTGAACTATCAGTACACACAACAGGATTCAAAAGCATTCCAGAATCAGACACATTTTGTGTCATCATTAAACAGGAATGCATAATTAATTAAAGGGCATTATTCAATACAAAATTACAAATATACAAATACAATTAAGGGAATACATCCATAAACTTACAAAGAAATCCAGATTCAAGGATATATTTCAAATATCCAGATGAATCAGAGACTGTTATAACATAAAAACAGCTCATTTCATCAACATCATTAATTGAATTTCTAAGGGGCTTCCACTAATTAAAGCCTTTAAGAGACATTATAAGTTTATAACACTCAAATTAAACAGACTCTTATTAGTTAAAACAGTCAGTGCTTCCACCACAAGGGACAAGGGACAAGTGATATACAATCTGGAACTTCTCAACAGATTGACTTAATCACAATCCACAATTCAAAGAACCATAGAAACCATAATCAAGTATCATAACATCACAGACAAGGGACAAGGGACAAGTGATATACAATCTGGAACTTCTCAACAGATTGACTTAATCACAGTCCACAATTCAGAGAATCATAGAAACCATAATCAAGTATCATAACATCACAAACAAGGGACAAGGGACACGTGATATACAATCTGGAACTTCTCAACAGATTGACTTAATCACAGTCCACAATTCAGAGAATCATAGAAACCATAGTCAGTGCTTCCACCACATTATCACAGAGACACAAAATAGATCACAAATTCGCAATAAACTCAGAGCAATATGCCAACATATCTAAGAAATAACTTTTACAAAACTAGGGTTTACAGTAACAACTAACAAAGACACAAAGTCAGTGCTTCCACTACAATATCACAGAGACCACATAATACATCACAATAAATTTAAGAATAGGGTCAGCGAGTTACTTCTTTTCTCACAAATACCCCGGAGAACGAGGGCTTCAGCCTTCAGGCCTTCAGTTTACTGGAAGTCGACGTCTCGACTCTCGACGACACCAGTAGTCCACCACAGCACCACGTCCACGACCACCACAGCACCACTACACCAGTCAGGGCATGAGGGCTTCCACCAGTGACCAACCGGACTATAACAGAACCAACCGGACAAGGAGAGTATAGACTACAAAGAAGGTAGTCTTTGTCTAGTACAGAAAGACTAGAGAGAACTGAGGAGTGAGGACTAAAATCGCAAGGTGCGACTGCGCAGAGAACCAGAGAGAACTGAGAGTCTCAGAGAATGAGAGAAGAGAAGCTCTCGTCTGGAAACCCTAGCAAGAGAAAGGAATCAAGAGACTGACTGCGCAAGTGTGGAGTTAGGAGTAACAACATATATATATACTAAGCCTAAACGACGTCGTATTGCTATCTACATACGCAACCCTAGCTTTTATCGGGTATTCGGACGGGTCGGGTGAATTTTTAACCCACCCTATCCGAACTCCGTAAACCGACGTCGTTTTAGGCGTCGGTTCGGTTTTGCAACTCGGGTATCGGTTCGGTTCGCGGGTCGGCCGGTTTTTTCGGTTTCTTCGGATTATGCTCAGCCCTATCTTCATCCACTGCTATGAAAATTATGTGCATCCACTGCTGCATTTTCTTCTTGTTTTTGTTTCGAAGTGGTGGAGGAATGAATTTTTTCTTGTTTTGCTTTGCATACTGAGGGGCGGCTAATGAGAGCTTCAAAGATTGTGAAAAAGGAGACTGTGAAAATTTCTGTTCTGCTTCCTTCTGAGCTCGTAATTCTGAACTACTCACGCACATTAAACACAAATCTCACGCACATTAAGCACAATACTCACGCACATTAAGTACAAAACTCACGCATATTAACATTACACACTCACGCACATTAAGTACAAATCTCAGGCACATTAAGCACAAGACTCACGCACATTAAGTATAAAACTCACGCACATTAATCAACCGCATGAAAAGCCACAAATGCACCTGATCCCTTCCATATATATATATATATATATATATATATATACCCATTTTGATAAAAATAGATAATATTTCAATAAAATATCGTGAACATCAATTTGGGACATAGTGCAAGTGGTGAACATGAATCTTACATCAAACCGCGCCTCAATTCACTGCAGAGCGCCCAATATCAATTGTCCACGCCCGCTATGACTTCTATAACATAATAACAAACTCTACAATCACACAACAATAAATAATAATTAAAGGAACCTTAACACTACCCAAAAGATATAAAAACCCTAGGACACTTACAGACGCAAATTATGTCATGGAATCGTGTTCACCGAAAATGGTGAACACAAGGCAAAATGACGTCATTTTTAGGCAAAAAAAAAAAATCGCGAATGTGGAGTTAACGGCGGGCGTTTGATCAAATTATGAATTTTCTGTTATGAGATTATGAATTTTATGAAAATTCATAATCTCATAACAGAAAATTCATAATCGCATAACAGAAAATTCATAATCGCATAACAGAAAATTCATAATCTCATAACAGAAAATTCATAATCTTATAACAGAAAATTCATAATCTCATGGTTCCAAAGTGAATGTGTAGGCATGGTTCCAAAGTGAATGTGCAGGCATGGATTCATAATTTATGAATGTCCGTGATTTCGGACGGGAATATGTAGGCATGGTTCGAAAGTGAATGTGCAGGCATGAATTCATAATTTATGAATGTCCAAAATTATGAATGTAATGAAAATTCATAATCTCATAACAGAAAATTCATAATCGCATAACAGAAAATTCATAATCTCATAACTGAAAATTCATAATCTCATAACAGAAAATTCATAATCTCATGGTTCCAAAGTGAATGTGTAGGCATGGTTCCAAAGTGAATGTGCAGGCATGGATTCATAATTTATGAATGTCCGTGATTTCGGACGGGAATGTGTAGGCATGGTTCCAAAGTGAATGTGCAGGCATGAATTCATAATTTATGAATGTCTGAAATCTTTGTTCACCTCAAATTAAAGTGAAACCGCAAAATGTGAAAATAAAGAAGAAAAGTCACGCAATTAATTAAGAAAAAAAAAAGAAAAAAAGATAACGGTATACTATCACCGTTGGAACCGTGTTCACCATGAATGGTGAACACGGTTCCATGGCATAACGTCTGACTTACAGATTATTGGACAATTAATAATTATGTAAAATTTTATTCTATAATATAAAAAAAAAAATCAAATGACAAAATAAGTATATTCTATTAAATACTATTTTATTTTGGACCTATTTCATAAACTAAATATCAACCAAGGCACCAAGCATATCCAAATTCCCTCTCAAATGGAAGTGTTGTTCAAAGAAAACTTTTTTTTTTTTTTTAACCTTCAAGAGTATATATTTTCACTGCACAACATAATTATATTTAATCAGTCAAAAGAGGTTTTTTTTTTTTTTTTTTTTTTTTTTTTTAAGGAAACAAAAAAAAGTAATTTTTAAAAATTAATAATCAGCAACACATAAAATAAAAAAAAAAAATTAAAGAAGAAAATAAAAGAACGTGTAGCTGCTCTAAAATTTGTTGATGGTAATTGCTCCCAAACCTAAATCTGGATTCCTTATATATATCGACAGGGATAGAAAATATTTTCAAAAGAACGATGCGGAAAATAGAGAGGAAATTTTGTTAAGATTCTAGTGCCTACTTAATCCATATAAAGAAATAGATATTATTAATGCATGCAAAAAGAAATCACAAATATAGGTTTAAACCCTAAACCTAAGAGACCTCTCATCCCCTACTTTTGGAGATTATTGTAAAAGGATGTAAATCGCGAGATGTGCCTCAGTGAGTAATGCAGAGTCTGAATATTTGCTTTTTGCATCCAAGGTTGAGACATTCCTCCTCAATTGAAATACAGTTCAACTATTGAGTTATGCACTGGAGGCAAAATTAAAAAACACAAATATAGGAAGGAGGAGACGAATTCTATACCCCGATTTATTCTAAGAACTCATGACTTTTACAAGAACATGAGTTATTTGATTCACAGAACATCTAATATGACAGAAAGAAACATTATATTATTAAAAGAACACAATAATGCAACAATATAATTAAAAATAACATCTCCAAATAAAAAAGATCCGCCTCACACAGGTATGCTAAATCCAGGCCAGTCTAGGATTTAAGCAGTAATAGATGATTTAAATATAGGCTTTAATTGTTAATGCACAAGCACAATCCCTGAAGAGCCAGGAAGCATGGTTAGAACATTAGTTTGAAGCTCAAATTAAAGGATGAAATTAAGGAAAAATTATGTCATTATATTTTTGACAAAGGATTCATAGAAGATGCAGCAGCCACTTTTGTCTTGTTCAATTCTCAGCGTTGTTGTTGAAGAAACTCAACCCTTTTGCTACTTCCATGGGAATAGAAAAAGAGTCTTCTGCCGAGAAAGTGCCCCTCAAATCTGGATCGAACATGATATGCAAGACCACGTAATTTTGTATCTGAAACAATTTAATTTCAATCGAATCAAACATCAAAATAAGTTCTTAGGCATATTTATAACCAACAAGCAAGCAAACAACACTAACCAAGTCAAGAATATCACGGGCACGAACTAGCTCTGGATTGCACCTATACTCTCTTATCACCCAACCACTCATCTTCTCTCTCCGATAAAGGTATAGCTCTTTTTTGAACCCTAAAATTTGGTTGTCAGCAAAAACTCTCTCTTCTGGGCCATTGCTTTTCCACTGGCCATCAAACTTCTTCCCGCCAAGTAATTCTCCAGGTGGAGATTTTTTCCCTTTATGAGTAAAGTAGTATGCCTCATTCTCCCTTCCATCCTCAAACTCCCCTGCATCCACAATTTAGACATGCCACAATTTTCAAACAATCAAATAGTGTTCAATTATCATTTATGACTTTCAGTTATCTAATCTATATGTATGTATAGTACTCTCCGACCATCAAAGCGCTTAGTCAAAAAAATACTAACCATTCCAATAATCATGCTAACAATCAAATTGGATTTAACTAACAACAAAATACTAAACATAAAATTAAACCATTTGCCTAAGAAAAGCACACGGCTAACATTGAAACTAATTAAAGGAATGCATTTGATCTTACTTTCATAGACTTTTATAAATTGTAAAAGTTTGGAATTATTCAATCAAAATTTTTGGAGTCTTTAAAAATCAGGTGATAATTGAGCAAGATTTTTAAAGTCTTTAAATGTTGGATGTCATTCAATTAAAACTTTTAAAAATCATTAAATGTCTATTAGTATTCAAAAAGTTATGAACTTCTTCTATCATTTTTGTTTTAAATATTAGGAATTTTGTAAACTTTTTTTTTTTTAATCTCAAATATGAACAGTTAAAATTCATCCCTCAAATGCAAATTTCTAAACTTTCTTTTTATGAATTTTGAATGTTTTCTTCCTCTATTTAAATTGTATACCTAAATTTAAAAGATTATTATTACTTTTAATTATTATACATTTTCTTCATGCTTAAATTCTACAAACTTTTTTTTGAAACATTCAAATCTTTACAAGTAATCACTCATTTAAAATGGTAACATTGGTGCTATCACACTACATAATAGTTGGCTAAAAACTTTTTTCTTCATCTAAAAATTCTATAGATGAGTTTCTTCTTTTATTTTTTTTATTTTTTTATTTTTTATTTTTTACTATTGTTTGTATCTTACCAATAGAGGATACTAATGGATACAAACATAGTTGATGACTATTATCATTTTTTGTATTATTATTTTTCTTGTAATATTATATCATTTAATTTAGTGAAAAATAATATTGGCTTTAAAGAAATATTATATCATTAAATTTAAATTTTTATTCAATTACAATACATAAATTTATATGATATGTTATAAAAAATTTTAAAGAAAATTAAAATATAAAAAATAAGTATTAATAGAACTTAATGAAAGTAATGTATTAATTGTCCTAACAAAATAAATGTTTTGATTCTACATAAAATTGATACTCTATATATTTACAGTATACTTTGTTTTTATGATAACAAAATTTAATTATTTTTAAATTAAAATACATAAATTTATTTAAAAGTTCTAAAAATATATGATATATTATTAAAGTTATTGTAATAAAATTCTAAATAAGCATCCACATAAATCAAGGGCATATTCAATTTAAAATTTTATTGAATTTTGTAGATATTATAAGTCTCTGTGATATAAAAATTTTACAGACTCCCTTAAAGTTTATAAAAATTTAGAAAAAATTATATGACAGTTGTATAAAATCTATAAAAATTTATCATTTTATAAGTCTTCAAAATTCAATTGGAGATGCGAGACAGGAGTAGGGATGGTAATGTACCCCGTCCTCTCTGGGGATTCCCGTCCCCATCGGGAACGGAGACAGCGACGGGGAATAATTTCGGGAATCAGGGACGAGGACGGAGAATTTTTAAAATTTTCGGCGAAGACAGGATACCCCTCCCTGCCTCGCCCCGTCCCTGATTAATTATTATAATTAAAAATAATAATAAAAAATAAACATATATATATATATATATATATATATATATATATATATATATATATATATATATATATGTTAATTTTTTTAAATTAAAACTTTAGTTTTTAAAATTAAAAATTACAATGATTTAAAATTTTGACTAGGAGTTGACGGGGAATCTTCGTTCTCACTTAATTCTCCGGATCAGGGATGGGGACAATTTTTAATTCCTCGCTGGGAATGGAGACGGGAACCGGAACGGGGTCGGGGTTTCGGGGACTGGGCCCGCCCCGCTCCGTTGCCATCCCTAGACAGGAGAACACCAATTCAGATCAACCACGGAAAATTTCATCAGGGATCAAACGATACTCAGAAATGCATAGAAGAACAACAAAAGAGATAAAGAGAAACTCAGAAATGCATAGAAGAACAGCAAAAGAGATGAAGAAAAGCTACCGATTGGGAGAAGCTCAGGAGGATACTCGTACAAATAGGGGATCTCTTTGATGATATCGCTGGGAAGCGGGCGACCATTGATCTTTTTCTTCAGGTAATCAATGAGTTCGGAATCCGTTGGTGAAAAAACGAAACCAACCGGAAGATGTTGTCTACTACCCATTCCAACACCAAATTCCATGGAGCTGAGATGGCTATATATGTGGTTGGATTAAAAACCGGAGAATTGGATACGGCTATACACTCGGGCGAAGAAGAAGAGAATTCAGAAAATTAGATTAAAATTGAAAATGGGATTTGTTATGAAGAATGATAAGCGGGCGGGCGCACGCATATATAATAAACTCCCGCCTTAAGTACTGCATAGCTGAAATGCGACTCTCCATTGGCAAATCTGTAATTCTTCTCATCTTCAAACAGGTTTTTTTTAAGAAAAAAAAAATGATCAAATAGAGCGCTAAATGTAGTATTCAAAAAAAAAATAAAAATAAAAATAAATAGACCGCTAAACTTTATACAAGAAGTTAATTAAACCCTAAACTTTTAAAAATTTCAATTTAACTCTTCAACATGCCCACAAACCATTTAGTGACCTGTAATAGCACGTCACTAAGGTTCCGGCGAAACTCTGACGAGCTCTGATGATGCTCTAATTACTAAGCCCGGTGACCGGTGGTCGCCAGACTGCCTTTGAAGAAGGTGACCAACATGTCGCCTTCTTCGATAGAAAAGGTAACGGGACCAAATGGTCACCTTCTCCATCGGAAAAGCTTCAAAGTAAATTCCATTTTTGGTCCTAGATTTATCGGTGACTGTCCACTTTTAGTCATTTTTTATTAGAACATCTTTATTTGGTCTTAGTATTATTATGTTATGACCATTTTTAGTTCCCGTCAACAAAATTGTTGAAATGTCGTTAAATACAAAGACATTTCAATTTTTTTTTACAAAGTAGGTTGACCCGCTATTTTTTTTTTTTTTTTTGAAAAAATTCATAATTGAAGACTGAGATGCTCTTTTATTTATGATATTTAAACTATTTTGTTGATAAAGGACCAAAAATGGTCATGCAACAATAATACAAAAACTAAAAGTAGATGTTCGTATAAAAAATGTCTTAAAGTGGACTGCCACCTATAAATCTAGGACAAAGAATAGAATTAACTCATGTATAAAGTTATAAAGATAATTGATGCAAAATAATATTTTTTAAAAAGAATGTTTATTTTATGGTCTTTACACTATACATAGTAATTATTAGGGTGCATTATAATTTTTACTTATTGGGCCATCATTTTTAGAATTTATTAAATTGTAACGGAATTTATCATGATGTAAAGGTAATTGTCTAACAAAAATACAATAAAAGTAATTTTGTCAAATACAAATATATTATACAACATTTGAAAATTAATGTATACATTTTTATTTTTATTTTGATGGAAAAATGTATACATTTATTATCACATAAAAATAAAAAAAAAATAATCAAGAAATGACCTAAAATGACACATATTATGTTTTAAAAAAATCGGCTAAAAAAGATGCACGTCGTTCACTTGGGCATGCATTCCTTCTATCAACATAATTTCTTTTTTTTTTTTGTTAGACAATTGGTCATTACATTTTGTAAACTTTTAACTCAATTTGGTCTTCTTTGTTTAGTTGTTTTTTTTTTTTTTTTTTTTTTTTTTTTAAATCAAAAGGTTTAAAGGAACGGAACATCCAACAAAAAATTATGCTAGAGGAATATATATATATATATATATATATATATATATATATATATATATATTATGATTCATAGTTGTGCATGCTAGATTCTTTAAAATCTTTTGTTATAGCGATAAATCAAATGCATAATATAAGCAACACATCACCAAATTCTTCCATCTCAAAAACTTAATTTGAAATCTCTTGACTATCTCTTCGTTTTTGGTGCAATATAATGGGCAAATATATATATCATTGACATATGTAACAAGAAAGGAAAATTGAAAGATCTACTTTTGAAATTTGAATTAATAGATTTTCCAATTTGGTAATTATGAATACAAAATTGAAAGATCTACTTTTGAATTATTGAATAGAATTGTAACTGATCGAAGCAATTGAAATTGAAATTCACATAAAAAGTAACAATGATCCTTGTTTATCGTATTAGCTAATTCGATCCAGTATAGTATTAGCTGTTTATAGAAAGAAATTTTGTGAATTAGAGATTTAATTTTAATGGTAACACGTAAATTACTTATAAGGAATTGAATGTATTGGTTTATTTATTTAGTTATTCATAAATCATTTTATATTTTAGACATAATTTCATAATAATTTGAGTTTAAATATCGTTTTTGTTGTTGTTGTTGTTGTGGAACAAGTTGTTATACCATGGACCAGGGTCCACCTTGCAATTATTAAATCCAAATTTCATTAATTTGTTTTGAAATTAACTGAATAAATGTCTCTAACTATTGTAATCTAAATATATAATCTCTAATTTGCAAAATATTTAATCCAAATTTCATTAATTTGTTTTGAAATCAACTGAAAAAATGTCTCTAACTACTGTAATCTAAATATATAATGTCTAATTTACAAAATATCTTTCTATAAACAACTAATACTACACGCAGATCGAAATAGTATAAATAGTAATAAATAAATAAAGGCTACAAGCTGTATAATCTATATTATATTCAAATAAGTAAATATTATCATAATATTACCATATATATTAAGAAAAATATATTTATATTGAAAAAATAATAATTCGAGAATTTTGAGATACATATAATGTATAAAGTTATAAAGATAATTGGTGCAAAATAAGTTTTTTTTTAAAGAAAATTTATTTTATGGTCTTTACACTATATATGGTAATTATTAGGGTGCATTGTAATTTTTACTTATTTAGCCACCAGTTTTAGAATTTATTAATTTAACGGAATTATCATGATGTAAAGGTAATTGTGTCTAACAAAAACGAATTGAAATAAGGTTAATTTTTTCAAATAAAAATATATTACACAACATTAGAAAAATAATGCATACATTTATTATCGCATAAAAATGAAAAAATAATCAAGAAATGACCTAAAATGACACATATTATGTTTTTTAAAAAATCGGCTAAAAAAGATGCACACGTCGTTCACTTGGGCATGCATTCCTTCTATCAACATAATTTCTATTTCGTTAGACCATTGGTCATTACATTTTGTAAACTTTTAATTCAATTTGGTCTTCTTTGTTTAGTTTTTTTCTTTTTTTATCAAAAGGTTTAAAGGAATGGAACATCCAACAAAAAATTATGCTAGAGGAATATATATATTATGATTTATAATTTTGCATGCTAGATTCTTAAAAATCTTTTGTTATAGCCATAAATCAAATGCCTATACAAGCGACACATCACCAAAGTCTTCAATCTCAAAACTTGATTTGAAATCTCTTGACTATCTGATCTCTTCTTTTTTGGTGCAATATAATGGTCCAATATATATCATTGACATATATATGTAAAAAAAAAAAAAAAAAAAAAAAAAAAAAAAAAAAAAAAAAAAAAAAAAAACACTTGCTCACATAGAACTTATGTATACAAAGCCAGCAAGATGCATGAGAGAATGATCTCTCCTTCTAAGCCTAAAGCATCAAAGCAGGCAACGACTGACACAAACGTGATTCGTTGTAGCGAATTTCTAAACTTTAAAAAAAATCTCTTTTTTTACATTTAATTTTCATCCCAATAAAAAAAATCTCTATTAAATTTTGTATTCCTCAAAACAATAGTTAGAGACAATTATTCAGTTAATTTCAAAACAAATTAATGAAATTTGAATTAATAGATTTTCCAATTTGGTAATTCTGATTACAAAATTGAAAGATCTACTTTTGAATTATTGAATATAATTTTTGTTTTTAGTTATTTCAAGTAACTGATCGAAGCAGTTGAAATTCACATAAAAAGTAACGTAACAATGATCCTTGTTTATCGTATTATCTATTTTGATTCGCGTGTAGTATTAGCTGTTTATAGAAAGATATTTTGTAAATTAGAGATTTAATTTTAATTGTATCACGTAAATGACTTATAAGGAATTGAATATGTATTGGTTTATTTATTTAGTTATTCTTAAATCATTTTATATTTTAGACATAATTTCATAATGATTTGAGTTTAAATATTGTTGTTGTTGTGGAACAAGTTGTTATACGATAGACCAGGATCCACATTGCAATTATTAATTCCAAATTTCATTAATTTGTTTTGAAATTAACTAAATATATGTCTCTAACTATTGTAATCATAATATTAAATCTCTATATTTGTAAAATATTTTTCTATAAACAGCTAATACTACACGCGCGGATCGAAATAGTATAAATAGTAATAAATAAATAAAGGCTACAAGATGTATAATCTATATTATATTGAAATATAAGTAAATATTATCATAATATTACTATTTATTATATTAAGAAAATTATATTTATATTGAAAAAAATAATAATTCAATAAATTTGAGATACATATAATGTATAAAGTTATAAAGATAATTGATGCAAAATAATTTTTTTTAAGAAAATTTATTTTATGATCTTTACGCTATATATGGTAATTATTAGGGTGCATTGTAATTTTTACTTATTTGGCCACCATTTTTAAAATTTATTAAATTATAACGGAATTATCATGATGTAAAGGTAAATTGTGTCTAAAGGTTATTTTGTCAAATAAAAATATACTACACAACATTTGAAACACAATGTATACATTTATTATCGCATAAAAAATAAAAATAAATATTAAGAAATAATATGAAATGACATATAATTTTTTTTATGCATAGTCTAAATATATTGTATACATGGCATGTAATATAGATACATGTAGAAGATAATCATTACTATTATTTTATCCATCTAAGTAATTAAATAAATAAATGAATAAATACAAAGCCCAATGAAATAAACCAAAAATATATATATTTATAGCAGTTTAATACAATTGTCTTCGAAAAAAAAAAACAAAAAACAAAAAACAAAAAAAAAAAAAAACAAAAAAACAAAGATCATCTCAATCTTTTAACCCTAACACGTTGTATAGTCGAATCAGTCGTACCCTTACAGGGCGTTTAGTTGAAGCGGGGGGGGGGGGGGGGGGGGGGGTGGAATTATGTG